GAGGTGTTGTAGAGCCCAGATCTACTGTCTTTTTGGAGTTATATTGCATGATAACCATAGATCTATCCATTTTATGCATCTTTTAGCCTTATTTCCCTTATTCATGAGGTTGTGCACGTAAAGTTGGAAACTTTACGTGGTAAAACAGCTTATTGGACTCAGATCTATCAATTGTATGCATTGGATTCAAACAAAATCAAGTAAAAATCAGTTGCATGGCGGCGACTCGGCGAGTCGGAAGAACGACTCGACGAGTCGGGTCGCGAGTCCCGAGTCCTTCAGTTTTATCAGTATCGAGTGGACGAGGTGAGTCAGGAAGTGGACTCAGCGAGTTGAGAGTGGACTCAGTGATGGAGGGACTCGACGAGTTTGTTCATACAACTCGGCGAGTCCAAGGCAATCTTCTTGGGATCAAGAACAACTCGTCGAGTCTGTTCATACGACTCGGCGAGTCGGATGAAGATTGTCTGAGTTCTTGGATCAAGAGGGTACTCGTCGAGTCGATGCCAGACTTGACGAGTAGCAGTGAGTAGAAGTGAAAAGTGAGAGTAGGACTCGGCGAGTTGGGTGGCCAACTCGGCGAGTCAGCCCAAAAGAGAGTTGACTTTGACCAAGGGTAAAAGAGTCATTTTACCCCAAGCGTAGTGTTTAGAATTTGATTGAGTGTGTTTATGGACTTGTAGCCGAGGAGATTCAGGAGCAGCCGCCGTTAGCTTTCCGAGCCACACACTCAGCAGCCAGCTTACGAGGTGAGTTTCCTTCCAGTAGGAACGGGTCTAAGGCCACAATGCCGGCCCGTTCAGTTAGCAGTAGTTTCCGGATTTAGGTCCGATGCAGCAGTTAGTATGTTCGATGCCTTCGTGGTTCGAACAGGATTTGTGTGCTATGTTTTATATGTTAAGTATTATGTGTCCCGGGCCACGGCCCGATGTAGCATGTCGTATATGTGTTATGCTAGTTGATGTGTTATGCTATGCCATGTTCAGTCAATTCCGGACTTCGGTCCGATGCAGTTAGTTCCGGACTTCGGTCCGATGCAGGGGACAAGGTCCCAGTCAGTTCCGGACTTCGGTCCGATGCAGTTAGTTCCGGACTTCGGTCCGATGCAGGGGACAAGGTCCCAGTCAGTTCCGGACTTCGGTCCGATGCAGTTTTCGGGCTTCGGCCCGATGCAGTGGGCAAGGACCAATATGTGTTTATATGTTATTGTATGGTATGTGGTAGTTTGGGGGAGCTCACTAAGCTTCGTGCTTACAGTTTCAGTTTTGGTTTCAGGTACTTCCGTAAGCAAGGGGAAGAGCTCGGGGTGACAGCATCGCACACACCGCAGCATAACTTTTATCCTGGGGATGTCTCTTGATGTTTTGGATTGATGTAGTATGATACAGTTTTCCGCACAATATTTTATTATGTTTTGGGGATACATCGCATGTGTTTATGTTATGATACTTATATTATGGTTTTGATTATATGGAAAAACGAAAATTTTTGGGTCGTGTTTTTGGTTCGTTTCAACAACACCACCAACAATGGTGGAACTTGAGAGGAGGTTGTCTTGCTTCACTAAATCAACTATCACTCTTCTAATCTTTCTTAGGTGCCGATTTCATGAGCTAGAGGGGTTCTTATATAGTGTGGCTTAATTAGGGTTACACCCTGCAAACCCTAATGTGCATGACCTTCCATATTCCTCATGCTCCATGGATTTAAACCTCCATGGGTCACCACATGGGTTTAGCCAAACATAAAGAACTATGGATCATAAGCCCACATTATAAGAATGAATGATTTACAAAATCAATCCCCATATATTTAATTAATCTCTTTTGATCACAAAATTAATTCTTGATCAATACTAATTAAATAATATGATTTCATATTAATATATTAGAACTTATAATATATTAATAAACCATAAATAACCTCTTCTCAATTATCCATCCTTCATATTGTTCTGGTGCCATGCAACCCAAATGGACCATGCTACTCTCGGGTTAAGTACATACTAATTATAGTTATGGACTTAGACACTAATCCAACACAAACCTATAATCCAAAAGGCCCAAAATCTAACTAACCGTTTAAGGCCCATACTTGGCCTAATTTTCCAAATTTGGCCCAAACCCTTACATGGGCCTTACCCTAAAGTCCACCCATTCTCCTAGTCTAAAACGCTTGCACTCAGATGGCCCAACAAAAACCCAAGCACCTAAGCCCAAAAGAAATGCCCAAACTCGAATCCCAAAATGCAAAGCCAAACAAATTGAGTACGCTCAGCTTTATGCTAAGTGTACACGCTAAATGTACATGAAACGTACAGACTTGTACACCCAACGTACTCACCCATTAAGCCAAAACCCACTTCAATCACTTAATGATTAAGAACAGAAGTGCAAACCACATATATAATCCCTAATAAGCGTCTGGAACCATAAATTCACTGACTTTGTGACTTTGCATACCCCAAAAGCACCCAAATTCAAGATATAGCACTTTACTTTCACTAAATGGACATAATCTCATGCATGGGTGATTCTAAACCCTAAAGGTGCCAACTTTATGGACTTTGAACCTCAGAAACACCAAGAGTGGCAACTCATAGTTCCTGGAGTGATGTCAAACCACTAGATCTCATTCATGGGGCCAAAAGGGTCCAAAACTCATATAAGCTAGACCTTGCACCAAAATCCTTCTTGATCAACGATCTTGCACCAAAATCCTTCTTGATAATGAACCAAAACACACCAAGAAGCACACAAATAAGCTCAAAAACACAATGGAAAGGTCTAGGGTTTCGAAATGAGGTTATATGGTTATTGGAGGATGAGAAATAAAGGGTAACATGAGCCATAAGTGTGATTATATAGTGTCCAACCCCATAAACTAGGGTTTCACTAAATGACACGTATGGCTAATGTACATATGCATATGTCCCGCGTATGTGTCCAGAGTCCCTACCAAGCCATTCATCGGTACGCTAAGTGTACCATGTGGTACGCCCCGTGTACTACCCAAGGATAAAATGTACAACATTTCAACAATGAAGGGCATTAATGAAACATACCAAGATCTAAGTGTCGATTCAAGCTAATTTGAGGTCCCATACAAAAAAAAAAAATGAGGCCCTTACAGTAATTTTTTTAAGTTAAAAAATGATAAATTGCTTAGATTCTTGAAGAATCAGTTGAAATTTATTCTTTTTTTTTATATCATTCTTTGCATTTTTTTTTCATTGCATGGGACGGACTAATATCAAACATTTTTTTTAATAATAATATTAGTACATATATAAAAAATGGGCCCTAAAAGTTTAGAAGCCCCATCGCCCATGATGCTCCACCCTCTCATACAACCCTGACATGGGATAGTGACGTGTGTTTTTTTAGATTTTCAAAATTTCAGTTTATTTTAATCTGATTTTTAAAAGTTGTTCTTTTTTTATGGTTTTGAGAAGATGTTAACAATTTTTGAGTAAGTTTTTGAATTTTTTTATTGGAAAAAACTTTTTTAAAGGATTTTTAAAAAGAAAAGAAAAAATTGCAAGAATGGTCCATGTGGTATGTCAAAGTTAGTAAGTTTGATCCAAAAGCATTTGGGCTTGCAAAGATGGTCCAATAGTTTGGTTTTCTTGTAAGTTTAGTACAATTTGATTTGAACTTTTTTGTATTGACAATTATACCCTTTATTATTTTATTTTTCATTTTTGTTTTATTACAACTATTAAAAATAAAACAAAAATAAATTACATCTCTCTCTCTCTCTCTCTCTCTCTCTCTCTCTCTCTCCTCTGACGTCTCTTCATTCTTCTCTTCCACTAGACCACCAGTAGCCGTAGGAGCACCACCGCTAGAGGAGGCAGCAACAACAAACTTACCTGGATCTACAACAAGGGTATTGATCCACACTACCTTTGTTAATCTTGGTGGCATTGTTGAGAATCTGGAAGAAAGAGGTATGAGATGGATCGAGACCAATGGTTTCTAGTGGAACAACCACATCCACCAGAGCCACAAGTCCATCACGAGCAGGAACTCCAAACTTGTACTTGACAACCTCTTCACTAGATTCCTTCAAGTCTCCCTTTGTGAAGATCAGGTTGGCATTCCCAGAAATATATAAGTTTCAAGACATAATTTACAAGTAATTTAAGCATCATTCAGGAAAACACAAGAGCCATGATGCCCTTACATCTAGAAATATCTGCCTCACGAACATCATCATCTTCTTCTTATTCACATTCCAGCCAACACCACCACCACCTCAATGTTTTCCCTTTCCTCTTTCTATCCTGCCAAATGTAGATCCCCACGAAACAAGACATTATTGCAATTGCAACAAGTGCTCCAACCAATCCATATATCAAAGAAGAATGAGTATTTTTATGGGATTTGGGTAAGAAGTTAATCCCTAAATTACAAGGTACAACACTAGTATGGGGTCAAAATAAAAGGAAGCGAGGTCATTGCAGAGGGAAAGAGAGTTGAGCCTCATTTGAAAATCGTAGAGAAAAGATAAGGATGTTGCAAGATCTGGGAGGTTAAAGTTGTAGGATCTGATATCGTTGGTAGTGGTGGCGGCGAATAGATGTTTAAAGATGGGGCTTTTAGGGTATACGTCTTTGGATGAAAATGGAGATACAGATGGGTTAACTTCAAATTTGAAAAGCATGGATGTTGTTAGATGAACAAATTTGTGTGTGAGAGAGAGAGTGGGAGAGAGATTATTTTTGTTTTATTTTTAATATTTTTTTAATTGTTGTAATAAAACAACAATGAAAAATAAAATAATAAAGGGTAAAATCATCAATACAAAAAAGTTCAGATCAATCTGGACCAAACTTGCAACAAAACCAAACTATTAGACCATCTTTGCAAGTTCAAACGTTTTGAACCACACTTGTTAGGTTTGACATACTATAAGGACGATTCTTGCAATTTTGTCAAAAGGAAACAGGTCTTAATTTACGCCATTGGTCTCCACGCCTCACATATTTTAGAACTTGTTATTTTTGTGAGGATTCCAAAAATACCTTTGTTTTCACGAGCGTTTGTAGTTATGGCCCACCATTCTAAATGCTAATTTGAAATAGGGTTTCGAATTCGATTGAGAACACACAAAGGATCCCCAAAAAGAGTTCATTATCAAACAGTGAACTCGTACAAACCCTAACCATCATATCTCTCACAGAAACATATACCCACTTCAATCAAGTCAGCAAGAATTTACAGTCTCTCTCTCGACTTCGCTAGAGTGTGGAGTATCATAAGACTATGGCGACAGAAACTTCTAGATCTTCAAGTTCATCGGCAGATTCATACATTGGAAGCTTAATTAGCTTGACTTCCAAGAGTGAAATTAGATACGAGGGCATTTTGTATAATATCAACACCGAGGAATCCTCCATCGGATTGACCAACGGTAACCAATTTTTACGATCTTGTTTCTTCAGATGTTTGTGGTTGTACCAATTCGTATTTTTAGGGTTTCTGTTTGAGTACGGTTCAAAAAGGGTAAGTTCAAGAACATAATCGTAGAAATGAAATGCTTGCAATCTAATTTTAATAGGGCATTTATGTTGGCTTTATTCTTCTTATGTGAAATACTTTCGAGCTAATTGTTGCATTAAGTGTATGCTGTTTTAGAAAGAACAAAAGGATATTCTGCGATCTGAACGTAGTAGTCAGAATTAGCATATCTTGACACAAGTTTTTACATTAGTTTTGGGTTTTCTGTTTATAAACCAAGTAAATTGTAAAATCAAGTGAAACAAATGAGTGTCTACTGAAGTCGAATTGTCTCTTTGTTGTACATTTTCTTAAAAGTATATTTAAGGTATTCTTATCAAGTTTGGGTAAATCTCCAAATGGTGTCATTATCGGTATTGCTATGGAATCTCTTGAATGGATACTTTAACGGCATCTTATAAAGTTTGATTAAATTATGAAAGATCTCCATATCTCCATGTCCATGTCTACTTAGTCTTAAATATTTCCCCTTCACAATTTTTTCCACTTATACCCATCGAATCCTATACAGATTTCTTGTGTTTTTATCTTTTTGGTTTTGGATGTATATGTAAAAGATGTACACAATGCTGTTGAGTTATCATGCTGCAAGTTTCTTGTGTATGTTATAGTGTTGATAGATGATTCGAGGCTATGTGTTCATGCAAAGTTCTAGGTTGAGATATCTTTTAGGGAAGACAAGGGTTTTATATCAGGCATAATAAAACAAAGAATAGACATGTGGAACTTTAATAATGTCAAGTTCCAAGATTTGACGTGTATATTAATTCTTTCCAAACTTACTAATTTTAACGCATTATTGAAACTTTGCAGTAAGATCGTTTGGAACTGAAGGGCGAAAAAAAGATGGCCCACAACTCATGCCCAGTGACAAGGTTTATGAGTACATATTATTTCGTGGAAGTGATATCAAGGTACCTAAAATGAAATAAGTTTTGACTTTTGACTTTTATCTCTTTATTTGCTTGTTTGTTTATGGGAGTGCATAAGTTATGATCATTGCATGCGATTGTTGTTTTTTTGTTAAAAAAGGCTTTAACTTTAAAAGGAATAATTTTGATATAATGCAAATTGCAAAGCCTAGGGCATATTAGGTTAAGTGGGAATTAAGCAGTTTAGTTTTGATGTATTAACTATAATTGGTACAAAAGTGGACTTGTAAACTAAATATAAGACCAAGTTCATGGGATCTTTTTGTTGTAATTAGTTATTAACTAATTACCAAAATGTATCAAATGCCATAAGTCACTGTTGTAATTGTTTATTCCATAAATTAATAATAAATAGTTAACACGAATGATTAAGAACAATGAAAATTACTACCAAAATTGAACTAACATGTAATAAAGGAACAAGTTTGTTTTGCATTTTCTAAATAGTTAAATAATAAAACATAAATACTTGTGAACATTCACTTCCTATTATAAATTCAACTATGAAACTCACTTCTTAAGATCTTCTTATTACTTATCAAATAGAAAGTTAGAAGCAAAAAACATACTTTTAAATGTTATTTTTGCTTTTACTTTTACATACCAAATATTATTAGATAAGTTATTTGAATATTGATTTTTTGAGACACATATGATATGAAAGGAAACTGCATTTATTCGTTGAAAAACACAGACTTGGAAATAGAGATTTTGTAAAGTAAATTTCACGTGTTTGATGGTTTAGGACAAATATACCCCCGAAAATAATCAAAGATGTTAAAATATACTTTCATATTATGCAGGATCTTCAGGTGAAATCATCTCAACCTGTTCAACCCACACAATCCATAAACAGTGATCCTGCGATAATTCAGGTATTTCAAGACAAAATACACAATATATTTACTTATTTAAATGATTTAATGATTAAATTTTTTATTTATTTACAGTCACATTATCCTCGGCCACCTACAACATCTTCAACCGCGGGTGGTCCCACCACCAACAATCTTGGTCAACCCGGGTCAACATATCCTTTATATCAACCCGGTGGAAATATCGGGTCGTGGGCCCCATCACCATCACCACTACCTCCAAACCCAAACACTTCCGGGCCCACAATGCCAATGTACTGGCCAGGATACTACGCCCCACCACCACAGTTACACCAACAATCACTCCCTCGACCACCACAAGGGTTACCAATGCCGCCTTCACTACAATACCCCACTTTCAATCCACCACCCGCGTCATCTGAACCCCCAAATTTCCCAGAATACCCTTCTCCTTTATTGCCAACATCATCCAGTTTCACTGGATCTCTGCCTTCTTTGATGCATAACAAAACTCCTAACCCTTCCGCTCCACCGCTGCCAGGTGGCAGTGTCACCATGCAACCACCGCCAGCTGTCACCAGTGATGTGCTTTCAGGTGCAAAGTTTCCTTTTCAGGGGATGTCTCAGGCGATGGGTGGGCCAACTGAACCACCTACACCATTGCTGGTGACGCCAGGTCAGCTTCTGCAGTCTGTCCCTACTACTGTTTCCCCGCCACCTGTACATGATGATGTGGAAGTTGTTCCGGTGTCGTCGATGACATCATCATCATCATCACCACCACCACCACCACTGTCTGTTCCTGTTTCAGTGCCGGAAGCTCAGCCTCCAATTCTGCCATTACCAACTCAATCTCAAATTGCTCAAAAGGTATAAATATAATAATAATCAGTGATTTAAATTTTAAATTCTGTTTGATTTAAATATTTAACGTATTTTTAATTTTTATTGTTGTTCTTTAGCCTAATGGATCAAGTTACCAGAATCGCCATAATTACAATTACAGAGGGCGTGAAAGAGGCAGAGGATCAGGGGTAATTTAGTAATTTTATGTTTTTCAACTTTTGAAGAGAGAACATGTGAATAACTTTATAATATAAATTAAAATAAAACACAGGGGTCACGACCAGTGATGAAATTTACTGAGGAGTTTGATTTTAATGCAATGAATGAGAAATTCAACAAGGATGAAGTGTGGGGTACGTTGGGAAAAACCAACAGATCTGGTTCAAAGGAGAAAGATGGAAATGTTACTGATGAGGAAGAATCAGAAGAGGAAACCGATCCCAACTTACCTAAAGTTGAAGTCAAGGTGAGATTTTTTATCCGAGGGTATTTTAGACATTTAACAGATAATTAAAACAAATGCAATCTTGAATCTACAGCCTGTTTATAGCAAGGACGACTTTTTCGATTCGTTATCCAGCAACTCACTCGATCGTCAATCGAACTACGGAAGGACTAGATTCTCTGAACAAATGAAACTAGATACAGAGGTAAGGTCATTTTCGTCATTTCATATATTTTAAAATTCTTTTTAACTTTCGACTTATGATCATGTTTTGTATGTGTAGACATTTGGAGAATTTTCTAGGTACAGAGGGGGTGGAAGGGGTGGGCGTGGGCCCTACCGTGGAGGGCGTGGGCGAGGTGGCGGCGGCGGTTATTATGGAAGAGGGTACGGGTATGTTGGGCGGGGTCGCGGTGGCAGAAATCCAAATCAAAATCAGAATGATATGCGTGATTATTGAAGTGTTGTTGGTTGTTTTTAGAAAGTACATACCAAATGGTCCCGACTGATAAGGGTATGTGGATTTTTCTTTTTTAGGAGAAATAAAAAGTTAGGTGATGAATATTTGTTTAAAGTTCCTTGTGGATTTTTTTTTCATTATAACTTTGGGTACTCATGGGAGTGTGGGTTTGAAGATCAGCAATATGTTGGAGTCTAAATTTGTGATTTTTTTTTTTTTTTTGCTGTTGTTATAGTGCTGTTTTAGTAACTATTTGTGGATCAGTTCTGTTCTTTCTTTTTTACCAGTGGCATATAATCTGATTCTTATTGATTTTTAAGTTAAATTAAAACCTGTTGTTGTATATATGTGTGTACAACGCATGTGTTTTGCTAATGTATCCTCATATTGTTGAAGCAGGAAGCGTCAATGGATTAGATTAGATGGAATTATAAAGTGAGAATATGCTTTCCATATGATGACCCAATCACGAATTATTTATAGCAAAAAGATTACCCTAGAGTTGGGTGTTGTGGTAAGTAGCTTTATTGGGCTAAATAGAAATAAACATATATAAATCAAATACAACATAGGTTACAAAGCATTGGATAATAATTGCAAATGTGAAGACAACGTTGTTGGACCAATATGTGTTTGATCTGGAGGATCAATCAAGTACAAAATATGGTTATCCATCATATGGTTAATACTTCAACAATCAACAAGAGGGGAGTACTTTGTTTTTTGATGCTTCCTTTTATCCAATTTCATAGCTAGACAGTATTTGTATATAAATGAGGCTTAACCTCAAATATTTGATTTATTCACGATAAACTAGGAAAGAAAGGTACTACATCTCATGACCTTAGAAGGTCAAAACAGAATAGACGAACGGATTATTAACTATGTTTTGACATAGTAAAACAATGTCATACTTTATGAATGGATGAGACACTCATAATGCCTCTTTATTTCCATATATCCATTATTCTCACATGTTGCTTACTATAATCGAAACTACTTGCATGTAGCAACCAAGACTCTTCTTGGAGCAAGAGATGGCCTTCTTCCATGAAGCGTAGCATAATTGTCAAGAAACAACACATCTCCCTTCTCCCACTTGAATTGAATGCTTTCATCCTCAATTATCTCTTCGCATCTCTTCACTATGTTCTCTGGTATCTCAGTCCCATCAGCCATCATCGCTGAGCTAAGCTCCTTCCCATGCATCCCCACCATTGTATTGAACCACATTCGCCTCCCTTTCCTTCCCTCAAAAACTTTGGTCAATGCTCTTGGACCTAAAATCGTTTTCACACCACCGTTTTCCAGCCATTCAACGTCCATCCCTAGAGCCCTTGCCCTATATCATGTCAAGATCTTCAGAATCAATTTGTTCGATTCAAAATAATATGAAAACTGAATTGTATTTCTATACCTTCTTTCAGCTTCTTCTTGGTCTTGTGTTGCAAAAGCATCCTGCCAACCTCGACCTCTCATGGAGGTGGTATTGTCATTGCTGAGAGCTGTGAATGTGTATTTCAATCCCTTGGCTTCAACTTCCTCCACAAATTCAGGGAACTCCTCCATCATTCGTTCAGTGACTTTGAAGCTTGGAACAAATGGCGTCTCTCCACCTTCTGGTGGTGGGACCTCACAGAAAAGTATCACCGCTTTCGGGAACTCTTTTATCTGTTTATATCATTAATTAATAAGCTCAATAACATATTCTATAACCACAATCGTAAAGAAATTTAAGCGTAAATACAAATGGTTTGACTTACCAAAACCATTTCATGATGATAGTAAATGAATTCAGAGAGAGGGCCTTCATTAGCAGTCCAAATTCTCTTGTGGATATGTGTTCGTGGGGCGGGCCCCACATAACGGATATCTTCCCAATCACAAGTTTCCACAATGTCATTGAAATCAACTGCATTCTTCACGTCGAATCCACGAAAAAGAACAGCACTATTCTTCACAAGCATCTCTTCAAACCATTCTTTGTTGTTCTTTAGAGCTACCAATAACGACTCTATCCCGTTTTTACTTGGTTCTGGAGGTGTGAGCACTAAAGGCAAGGTTTCTCCATCTACTAACTTTTCACCTTCGCATTTCCCTACCTTGAATTCCTTGCAATTGTATTCCATTTTTGCTACTCAAGGGTGATTATGGGCTACGTAGTTTGAGATGACGAAAGGATGAGGGTATGAAAGAGTATATATAACCACAAGGACGGATGATCTTATATATTGGTCCCACCCATTAACGGCTCATGATGATCATATCAAAGATACTGAATTGTCTTTTTCAGATCAAGAATATATATCGTCAGTTAGGAGACATTTTGTATCTGTTTATATCATGTTATTCTATGGTTTTAGCATCCGACGGTTATTAGTTAAAAGACACTTTTGTGTTGTTTTTTTTATAGTCCAGATTCATTGATTTTAGCCTCAGTTTTTGTCGTTAGTGTAGATTTGCAAATAAAGCTAGACTTTTTTTTTTTTTAATATGACTTGCATGTTGATATAAAGTATTACGAGGTTATTTCCAAGGAAAATTTACCGAAAAAGATGAATATATGAACTTTGCTTAACATTGTAAATCTTTTGTTGTATGTTGGTATTGCTTACATCGACTCTTTGCTGGCACCCCATATCGCCTATTGTGTTTTCGAGGTTAAGTAGTTAAGCTTAGGTGTTTACTTTAATTCCAAGCCGTTTTTTAATTTGAGAAATGCGGATCATTTCATTTTATTTTCTTATTTCAACCATATATAGGTGAAAGGTTTCTTCTTGATGAGGCAAATTTGACAAGGTTAATTAACAAGTAAGAACCAACCTATTTGCATCGTGATATGGCGCCATATATATATGAACGTTGTGTCAGCAACTTAATAGATAACACTTTCTCACTCCTCATCCACACAAAAAATGCTCTCAAATAGTATTACAGTATATCAGCTTCCACTCTACATCTTTTAAAAAAATACCAACTGTACATCATTTTTATCATTTTATTTTTTATTATTTAAATACAACATTTATATAATGTAAAAATTACATTCCCAAATATAATAATAATTAAACATAAAAAAGTTTCATTAATTTAGAAAATTTATAATGACATAATTAACATTTAAAATGACATAATAAAAATAAAAATTAAACATTATAAAAAAACTATCAATTGTTGTTGTTGTCGGTCTTACCGTCGTCTTCCTCACCATCACCATCATCGTTGTGTTACATTTGACATGTGCTCCATCAAATCTTGACTAAGATTGTTATGCATTTCTTTGTTCTATATTTCCAAAAGCCTCAGGAAGTATTGTGGGGTACCAAATAAAATTTGTAAATGTGGATGAAGTGCCTTATTCGGATTATACATACAAATATTTAGCTCAGCTATTGTCTTCTGTATCATATTACGTAAAATGATACACACATAAATTACTTTTCTTTATTCTTTTTTCGGATCCCATGCCTGTGTCGTGTTTTGTTATGTGCAAGTGCCTTATTCGGATTATACATAAAAATATTTAGCTCAACTATGGTCTTATGTTATCATGTTACGTAAAATGATACACACATATATTACCTTCCTTTATTCTTTTTTCGGATCTCATGCTCGTGTCATGTGTTTTGTTATGTGCCATTTGTGATATCCTCTAATTTTTAGAACCAGTTAAAACCTTTTGTTATGCTTTTAAAATTATTGTATCATTGTTGCGGAAAAATTCCAGTATATTTGAAACACTGAGTACAAAAGATTGTCTCGATTTAATAAAACCCTAAAGATGTCATGATCGATACAATAATATAAGTTACAACGTAAAAGCCTAATGGTTCTGAACTTTATTGCATGTTGTCTCTTAATTACTCAACATCATAATCAAATTCCAACAACTTAAGTCTTGATACCTATGATGCATATAAACTGAATGGGTCAGATCGGAAGATACACAAGATTTCAATCCCATAATACATATCTTAAAACCTGCAAGAATCAACTTTTATCATTAACACATGTATATCTCATATAAGCAATCTCCCCCATCCCATCAATCCTCACATATTGATCTTATACAATGACCTCATGATATTTAATTGGATGGGATTGTGTAAACTATAATTTGAGTATACTGCTTCGGGGATTCCTTAGCAGTAAACGAGGATCAATAGAGGCAACAGGGAAAAAGAAGGGAATACTCGAATTATTATGCTTAATCCATACTCTTGGATCAGTGATGAAAGATTGTAACTAATCCATACTGTCGGATCAGTGAAGAATGACTATACCTAATCCATACTTTCTGACAAGTGATGAATGACTGTACCTAATCTATACTTTCGGATCAGTGACGAATGACTATACCTAATCTGTACTCTTGAATCGATGGCGAATGACTATACCTAATCTATACTCTCGAATCGATGATGAATGACTATACCTAATCTATACTCTCGAATCGATGATGAATGACTGTACCTAGTCTATTCTCTCGAATTAGTGATGATTGACTATACCTAATCCATACTATCATATCAATGATGAATGAATGTACCTAAAGATTATGAGAACACTTTCGTTTAGCTTTGAATAACTAAAAAGGGTTTTTTTTTTTATCTGATTTTGCAAGTTCAAATTAACTTTAAATAATTCAACTAGTAAACAACTTAAACTAAGAAAGATTGTGATCAAGATTATGAGAACACTTCCGTTTAGCTTTGAATCCCCCTATTTCCTATGGCTAGTTCTTAAACATAGATTTATTCAGTTGGTTACCAATATTAATGTAACTAGCGGTCTTGATTCGATCTTCTAATATTTTTACCAATTCATGAATTACTATGTAATGATCATACACAAGCAAACATATAATTGATTATTAAAGGTAATTGGGCTATGTAATATATATCTAAGATTATTAAGACCAATAACCAAACACAATTATGATCGAAATTTGAATGCAATATAATCAAAAGTAGAAAGAAAAACCTCTACAATACATTGTGAAAGTAATTAATCAATAAATACATAATGTATGATAAAGGTCAACTCAACAAATTCATGATAATATAAAGGTTTTAGGAATGTCAATATTTGCAAATTGAAAAGAGTTAAGCCGATACAAACACCGAATTTAGCAAGAGCTTTAAACAAGCCAACAAAAGCTCTAACCCCATCTAAAATGGCTACAACGCAATAAATAAAGATTAAAAAAAAAAATAACCATTAATATAAGAACTAAAAAAATATGGATAAAGTCATAAGCTTACCAAGAAAATGATGACACAATCAGAAGTTCAATGTATAAGAAGAGAACAATTTCAAAAATCAATACAAAGCTTAATTTATGCCATAAAATAATACTTTAAGTATAAAAGAAGATTGTACTCTCTTCGAATCAACATATTAGAATAAAGAATGAAGAGTCCTTCCTTTTTGAAGATTTTCTACCAACAATGATACTACATGTTTCTCCGATGGAAGGATCTATAGCTTCGTTTTTGGAAGTTCATTTTATTTCAAGAACAAAATGTGGGTGTTTAGTAGATGTTCTTAAATTTAAATTGATGTTTATCAACCGATTTTATTACACCGATAGCTAACAAAAAAATCAAGAAAACTTACCTTTGAAAACCATGTTTATGCATCTATTTCACACCATTGAATGAGAAATTTATCTGACCTATTTCACTGTAACATCCCGACTCCCATGTATAAATTTAAAGCTTTTATATTCCTATTTTTAGACCTACTCGACGAGTTGGCTGCCCCAACTCGTCATGAAGAAATTGTTCAGGCTGTGTGGGTTATGAAGCCTACTCGACGAGTTGAGGCTATGCATGAAAACCCTAATTTTTAGGGTTTGCACCATATTTAAAGGACCTTAAGTCCTCCCTCCATCCTCCCTTACCACCTTCACGTCCAGAAACAAACCCTAATCCAGCTAACCTCCAATTTTGAGTGTGTGTGAGGTTAAAGAATGTGTGTTACTGTATTTCTTGAAGAGACTTGAAGATTGAGAAGCTTGGAACGAGAAGGAGGTTGTAGATCCAACATTTACTTCGTTTTGGCATTCATTTAAAGGTAAAAAGTCATTACCTTGATCATTTGCTTGTTAGATCTCTCCATTCAAGAGTTTAGGGTCAATATCTAGCTTATTCTTGAGGCATTTCTAGTTTTGAGCACGTTTTGAAGTGAGGAGTTCAGATTTGGACTCCTCTAGTCTCTCATGGACATAAAGTTCTCGGCTTTATCTAGTCTTGGCCTTTCTCCATGCCCTAAACCTCTTCATAAGCTTAGTTTTGGGTGTTTTAGCCTCTTGAGCAAATGCATGGGTGTAATGTTAGCAACTTTACATGGTAACTACACCCTAGGGGACTAGATCTATAGTTTGGAGCTTTGGGTTCGCTTAAAAGCATCTGAATGAGAAAAGGGATGAAAGAACTCGACCAGTTGCTTAGCCAACTCGATGAGTTGGATGAGGGTTTTTCCACTTCTGGATTCTGAGTGGACTCGCCGAGTTGATGAGATAACTCGACGAGTTAGTTAGGGTTTTTCTCGATTTTCCAAGATCTGAAGGAACTCGACGAGTTACTAGCTGCACTCGAGGAGTCGGGTCAACATGGATAGTTGACCTTGACTGTTGACTTTGACTTTGACCAGGGTTGACCAAGTTTGACTTCTGAGGGTATTTTGGTAACTTGGGTCTTGATGATTGTGGGCCAAGAGTATTCCATCCCGAGGATCATTGGACTCATTGTATGTGGGCATTCAAACTCGATGGTTGTGGGCCGAGAGTATTCCATCCCGATGATGATTGGACTCATTGTATGTGGGCATTCCAACCCGATGGTTGTGGGCCGAGAGTATTCCATCCCGATGATGATTGGACTCATTGTATGTGGGAATTCTAACTCGATGGTTGTAGGCCAAGAGTATTCTATCCCGAGGATGATTGGACTCATTGTAGGTGGTTATTCCAACCCGATAGTTGTGGGCCGAGAGTATTCCATCTCGAGGAAGATTGGACTCATTTAGGTGGGCATTCCAACCCGATGGTTGTTGGCCGAGGGTATACTATCCTGGGGATGATTGGACCTGTAATAAGTTGGCATTCCAACCCGATGGTTTATTG